GCAGGAGCAACAGCAGGAGTCATAGAAAGAGCAGAGGCAAGAGAAAACACAACAGCAGGTGCAAGAGACGCAGCAGAAGCAGGAGCAGGAGCAAGATCGCTCAACAGTGACAGTAGAGATAAAGATACCCCCCAACATCAAAGCCAATTTCAAAGTTGTTATTGGGGTGGGGGCCGTGTAATACTAGGAGGAAGAGGTTATCTGCTTAGTCGAGGCTTTCGTCTGCAGCCTTATAGGCACTGGTAGATGCATCACGGCGTGTTCTAGCAACGCAAACGTGGGCAAGTGTGGAGCGCTACGCCCCGCTGCGGAAAGCGCAGGTAGCAGGAGTTTAGGGCCAAAGTTTAGGGTTTAGGGGTTTAGATGTCAGTGCATGCTGAAAGAGGGGTTTAGGGGTTTAGGGTTTTAGGTACAATCCTGGCAGCAAGGATTCCAAACACCATGATTCATGATTCATGCCAAGGGTTTCGGTGGCATGCTGTTTTCAAGGCAGACTGCTTGTTCCGAACAGCGCTACCAGTATGGCAGTAAGGAAAGATCACAGCATCACGGTGGAGTCAAGAGGATCTACATTAAAGACGGACGGGAAGACCAGGCGCGGATTCTTCCGGGGAAGTTCGGTATATATTTGTTGACATATACCCCGCCGCTCCACTTTCTCATGCTACTGCTTTCTTAGTGGGAAGTGGGAAGGGAATCGGGCATGTCGTGATGGTAGGCGAGGCTTTTTGAGCTGTTTGTTTCACTGTGGCTTCGGGGACATGTACCGCACACACAGGCAGCAGTCCAACGTGCGAGTGACATTTCGTGAGAGTGTCGTCTAATAGTCATGAGCCACATGTTCTGTGGTGGTAACTGCTTCTGTCGATTCGCATGCAAGCACAAGGTAGCAAAACCCGGCTGTTCTCAAAGCCGTGCAAAGTGGTAGAATAGCAGAACAGGAAACAAGAACATGACACAGTCGAGAGTGTGAAGGCTGCTATCCCTCAACGTGCCATAGCCTCCTTCCTAGAAGCTTGTTGTTCAATACTCCCGCGCAGACAGCTTCCCATCCATCATGTACATTACAACCCAAAGAGAGCAGGAACTCCTTCCTCCAATCCCCTTGTCCAGTTCCATAGATGATATATTCGGGCTTATGATCAGACACTATGTCAGCCACCAGTGACACACCAAGTATGAACGCCCTCAAGCCCTTGCCACGACTCCGAACAAACGAGACTCGAGACACTAATCCATCATTTAGTCCAGAGGAGTTTGGAAACCCACGAAATCCCCAACCAGAAGCCCTGCGCGGCTTTTTGCGTTTAGGGTTTAGGGTGACCTCTAGAACTGCAAAACAAAGACCCTGTAAGCCCTAAGCCCCTTCCCATTTTTGTTGAGAGTTTGCGCTCCTGCAAGCTTCCCGAACACCCTGCTGTACCCCTCTCAGACCCAGAAAATTCCGAAAGCTCCACACTAAGAAGACCTTGTAAGAGCCTGGGCCCCCCCCCCACCTATTCCCATCATCTTCTGAAGCAGCCCTGATTTCATGGACGGCACAGCCCTCAGCAAAGAACCCGGAGCTGTGTAGACACTGCCGAGTCTGGATCATAATCCCAACTACCCTGCGTCCGACCTCGCAATTAGGCCTTAGGCATGGCCACACTCTGGGAAGCTGCAGTAGAAGCCAGAGAGGTAGGGTTCAGGGTTTAGGGTTTAAACCAACCCAAACCGCCAGCAGACAAGGCAGACCAGTAGAAGTCATGCTCTTGCTGCGTACAAGGCATGGGGTATCCCAGCACCATCCATCCGTGATACGCACTCCAAGTTTTTCCTGAACCTAGATCCTACACCCTAAGCCCTAGGCCCCTGGTTCCTCAACACTATAAACCCTAAGCCCAACCCCAAGAGAAACAGGTTTACGAACCCTAAACCCTAAACCCCTAAACCCCTAAACCCCTAAACCCTAAACCTTAAACCCTCCAACTCAACTAGGTCGGCCATTCCACCGGGCGGGCAATTTAAGAGTCTGGGCTGCAGAGTTATTTGGGGTCCGGGGTTGATTTTTTTTTTCTGGTTGAGGGTGTTTTACCTATAGTCTCCATTGTAGTTCCTTGTTTCGGTTTAACCAATTTCATATTATGGATCCTATAAGGTAACCCCAAAAAGGAACTACAATGGAGACTATAGGTAGTGTCGTGCTATCCCCCCAAACCCTGAACCCCTAACCCCCTAAACCCTAAACCCTAAACCCTTCAAACCCTAACCTAAAGCCTTGGCATGGCTCCTGAAAGCAAAGCGGCTGTGCCCCGGGAGAATCCATGGAGTCCCGAAGCAAAACACCCTAAACCCTAAACCCTAAACCCTAAACCCCCCTAAACCCTAAACCCTAAGGCCTCCAGCCCGAAAGCCTTGCCTGCCTTGTGCGAGTGTGAGAATCGGAAAACCCTAAACCCTCAAACCCTGGCTTTCTGGGCGAGTTGAAAAAGAGGGTGCAAAAAAACACATAACAAGAACCATAATGTCAATACACCCCTGGCTTTCTGGCATACTTGTCAGAGGCCCGGATGCAGAAAAGTGTGTTTGTGCTTCTCTTCAGCCAGTCTGAAGGTTGTGGGCTCGTAATGCGGGAGATTGTCTACTTACCAATGCTAGCTTGAGGATTCCTTATCATAGGTTTTGGTATGTTATGGTATAATCTGCCCCACATGCTATCGTATTTTATCAAGGCCCCTATATTAGGGCTTTGGGACTTTCATGGGTCTACGATGTGGCTAGGGTGTACACCTTAAATGCCGAAGGTCACCGCCCGGGCACAGTATACTTGAAACGCCCACTTTTTGCCAAGGAGCACATGGCCAAATTAGGCTGTCTAGCATTTGGGGTCCATTAAGGGTACTTTGGAGTGTACTGTAAGCCTCCGGGCTTCTTCGAGATGATACAGTAAGGGTTCTTCGTTTGGCAAGGCTTTAAGTTGATGACGCGTCCACAGGACTTGCAACGGCTTTCTCGCGAAAAACTCCGTGGTGTCCACTGGTTGAGAGCCCCAACCGAAGCCAAAACACCGTAGACACCATAAACCCTAAACCTAAGCACACTCGGCAAGCAGCTGTATGCAGCCCCCCAAAGAATCCTGGTTTTGCAGCGTAGCTTCCAGATCCAAAAGGTTCGGAGAAAGAAGGACTTCTCTGACTGCGCGTGTCGACAAGTTTTCGTCCTTGAGATTCAGATCCAGGATATGGGTCTGTGCAGGTTTTGAGGGGGTATAGTGGGTCTGGCTTGTTACATGAGGCATCACTCATTTCACCAGCTTAGTCTACCTATAGTCTCAATTGTAGTTCCTTTTTGGGGTTACCTATATAGGATCCATAATATGAAACTGGTTAAACAAAAAAGAACTACAATGGAGACTATAGGTAGATTCGGGCTTCTGTGAGAGATCCACAAATTGGGATTGGCCAGCCGGTTTAGAACGACTGTAAGTCTTTCATCGCCTGGGCCATGGCTGCAATACCCTTCGTTTAGAACATGTTAGGGTTTAGGGTTGAGGGTTTAGGGTGATCTGAAACGGTTTCGGATCATATTAAGTTTTTTCAGAGGGACTACCCTGGAAAGGTGCTGTAAACGCCTCACGTGACAACGAGCCAGAAGGGGCTCTGGGAAGGAATGCCAAGGACTCCCGAAACCCTGCCTGAGCCCAGGACGGTCTGGAACATGCTGATTGCATCGTGTGTTCTTCATGACTTGTATCTTGGCAGGGGTTCAGAGTCTGGAGATTTCCGATAGGAGGCCTAGGGTTCGGGTTTAGGGTTCGAGGGTTTGGGTTTGTGCCCGACTAGTCCGTTGAACCTCTCGCGAGGAGCCTCAGCGGCATCTGTACTCTTTATACTTCAAGGCTTCCAGAGGCTTCTGAAATTCGAGCTGAATCGTAGTTCTGTTACCAAGTCTTGGTGATGTTCGCTTGTACGGAGGCGCTTTGGGGTTCAGGGCTTGCGGTGTTAGGAGCTTTCGGAGGTTAAGGGCGGTGAAGGTGTAGTGTGTTTAGGGTATTATGAAGGGAGGCGCAATAAATTTCCAGAGTTCAAAGCAGGGCGGGCGGTTTGGAGCTTCACCCTCTGCCCTGGCGTTCAGGACCACTCCTGATCCCACGAAGTCCTGAACCCTAAACCCAAAGCCCCTAAACCCTTAACCCTAAAACCCACCCCTAAATCCTGAACCCCCAAACCCCAATCCCAGAACCCCGAAACTCTAAACCCCTTAACCCTAAACTCTACTCCCTAATCCCCGAAGCCCAAGCCCATGCGCTTTCGCCCCGTACCTGGAACCTCGCCTAGGCATGTCCGAGAGTGAGTGCTGAAACCCCGAAACCCTAAACTCTAGACCCTAAATCCTAAACCCGAAACCCCGAAACCCGAAACTCTAGACCCTAAACCCGAAACCCCGAAACCCCGAAGCCCTAAACTCTAGACCCTAAACCCTAAACCCGAAACCCGAAACCCCGAAACTAAACTCTATGGACCCCAAACCCTAAACCCGAAACCCAAAACCCCTAAAACCCTAAGACCCCTTAACAAGCTGGCTGCAGTTCTGGGCTCCTCGTAGCTCTGCCTTTCCAGGCCCTGTCTCAACCTTTTGGGATCCTCCGCTTCTTCTGTAGACCCTCTAAGGTTTAGGGCGTATAGGGGTTTAGGGTTTAGCGCTTATAGGGGGGCTTAGGGGTTTAGGGCTTTGGATTTTGGGTCTAGTTTAGGGGTTTGGGGTTTCGGGGTTTAGGGGTTTGGGCTTTGTGAGCCTCGGTTCCTGGCATATGCATAGACCAGCCCACACAGCCTGACAAAGGCTCTAAGAGGTACCGACATGTAGGTTCGACCTCATGCAGTGACTGGCGTGCCACCTAGCTCTCTCTAAATGTCTTCGGCCCAGCCTGTCGGGCTTGCAGCAGGCATAGGTTGGCATGTTCGCGATGACTACTGCTTGGCCAGAGTCTGAAAACCTTAGCCTCCGCTCGTTTCTCCGAGGATTGTGATTCCGCTCTACGTCTTCGAGTTTAAGGAACGTGGCTTCAAGACATGGGTATCCCGTAAACCCTGAACCGCCGCTACCTTGAGCCGAAACCCCCTCTACCCTAAATCCACAAATCCTACACACTCTCATTCCAAGACTTGCCTGCTGAAATTTGCAGGAACGGCTTTTCGGCCAGAGCATTTTTGAATTCATCGTAGCTTTTACCCAGAGACACGAAGATCCCTTCATTGTGCAGTTCCTTTAATTGACGGGGGATCCTTAATAAGAAAGCCCTTAATGAAACGACGTTGGCGTCTACATACACACAAAGCCCGAAGTACATCCAGCATTCCCAGCACTCGTGTCAGAGGTTCAAAGCACGAGAGAAGAAAGCATGGACACGGAGTAGATACATATGCTCCCCAACAACGTGCCTTGTTGGTTTGAGGGGCTTCTTCAATATAACCCTACCCACAACTTCGTTAGCCCGTCAAAATTCAGGCGACAAGATTGCAAGAATAGATCAGGCTGCATCAAGCGGAACATCGGAGGGTTTTTCATGAACAAAGATGCGGGAGCGGTAGCTACTTTGGTGGGGTTAAAGCTCTATACGGTAGTTTCAGTTGAGAAGGACCCTAAACTGATGACGACAAGGACCCTAAACTGATGGCGACACTTTGTGAAGCTGTTCTGTGAAATTCTCATCTCGGTCTACAAATTCCCCAAGAGCCTACATCATGCCACGATTTCCTTGATTTGTTGCCGGGTGATGTGTTGAGATGTTATCTTTCAAAGCCTTTCAGAGCCTTTACGGTTTTCATTGTACATATGTATATATACATATATGTATATATGGGCCCAAATAACTAGCCATACTATTTGGGGCGGCTGCTTTCTATAACTCTAGTAAAATATGCCCGACAACCCTAGTCTTCTTATGAAGGCCCCTATAGCATTTGCCTCGGGACGTCGGTGTTCTGGGACCAACCTGTCTCGGATGTCCAGGAGGTCCTCTTCCTGACAGTCTTGGAGTGGATGACGCAGCTTTTTTGGACAGCGGATCTGATCACCAGCTCAATGACCCTGGGCACGACTGCTGACTCTGTGTGTGGGTGTCTGTTTCTCTCTATCTCTCTCACTCTCGGTTGTGTGTTTGTGTGCGCGAGTCTATGCATGTGTGTCTTTGTGCATCTTTGTGTCTGTGCGTCTTTCTTAAGACTGAAATATCTGAAATGTATACCCTTGTCGTTTGCGGACTCATGAATGGGAGTGCAGCTCCAGGTGCACATACACCCTCATGGAGGCACAATGCACGCATAACTCATGTGCAGGTAGAGGCAGACCCGAATACCTGGCAGTATGCGGCAAACCCGGCACGCGACTTTGTGGACTTGCACAGGTAAGCTGCAGCTAGCAAGTGTTCTGGGCCGTTCCACCAATGATCGCGACGCATCCCCAACTTAACCTTAACCCGAACTCAGAAAAGCCGACCATGACCTAACTAAGCCTTTTTGTCTTTTGTGAGCCACTGTTGTGTCTGTTGCGTTGCATTATCATCCTCTTTGTCTTGGTCTTCTGAGCTTGACTTGCTGTAGGCTTCTTTCAAGTACCACTGTTGCCATATTGTTATGCTACATAGGCTGAGGTTTATTTGCACTTCTGTCGACGTACGCGTACGCGCATGCATATTGCGTTGTGTACGGGTGGGTCATCACGGTACATCAACTCTCAGATTATTTGCCAGGTTGCTTCAAGAACTCCCAGCTCCCTACTCAAGTCGTACAGCTTCGAACTGAACGCCCGTGCTCTACCCATAGGCTCCATTATAGCTCCTTTTTGTAGCTTACGTATATTTAGGATCCTATAAGGTAACCCCAAAAAGGAACTACAATGGAGTTTGGGTACGCCTCTCTGATTTTCATCATATGTGCAAGGACAGGTTTCTACGAGAAGGGATCGTTGATCCTGGACTTGAAACGGTCCTTCTTCCACTACATGAAGACGCTTGGACTCTGTGGGAATTTTGTTTCAGGGCAGCTTGCTCACATTTTTTAGTTTGCAAGATCTTTGGGATTGTGTGATCAGTGTTGAATGTCTTGGGGAATCCGGGCTCTGAATAACTGATGATGCTGCCCCCTGGTAGCCCTGCAAGAATCATGGCACCATGTACCTGCAAACCCCCCTGTCTTTACAGTTTTTCGATAGCTTCAAAAGAACATGTAACTCGAAAGAACACTAAAGGAGTCTGCTCCATTTGTAACCTTCTTGGGCGGCCACACAAGCCACGAAAGAAGGAAGGAATTGTATGGTGTTGGGCTGTTTTGGGGGTTCTTTAGGGTGTAGGGTTGTTGAAGCTTGAGGGGTTTAGGGTGAGAAGCAACCGCCAGCAGGCAGAAGTACCTTAACTTGGTAACCCAGAGCCTTATAACTCAATGCACCCATTGATGTCCTTTGACCCTAAACTCCCAGATTCCCACATTTCCCTGAACCTTAAGCCCTAAACCCTAATAAACCCTAATTAAGCTCCCCAAAACCCTAGTTTCCTAAACCCCGAATTCCCTGAACTCGCGCAGCCCTGCAGAGCTCCCTGAAAGCTAAGCCCCTGACTTGGATCTATCGTGAAAAAAGGTGTCTCAATAATTACCTCGATTAATTGTTTGGGGTGTTCCGTATAACAACTATAGTATAATATACCCCCAAAACCCTAAACCCTAAACCCTAAACCCAAAACCCTATTCAATCATTAAGGCCTCTACATTATCGTTAGGCTCCCGGCTTTCGGCCAATTCAGGGGCCCAGAGCCTCCTGAGGAGTCCTCGGCACCCTGTGTGCCAGCTGTCTAAAGAGTCTCTGAGGGGCTGAATGTTTAGGGGTTTAGGGGGTGCGGGGTTAAGGATTAAGGTGTAGGGTTTAAGGGTTGAGTTCTATTTTTTCGGGCTGAACTGAACCCGCCTTCTAAGGTTTGGAGTTTTGGGTTTCAGAATCAAGCTTTCCGTTCAATGTTCAAAGCTGATAAGGCTTATAGGACTTGCAGGGCATTAGGCTTTTGAGCATGTCTACACTTACACATACGGTTGATGATATAAATCCTGCATTACCCATAAGATTGAATATGCCAGAATTCCCGTAGTTTAGGGTCCTTAAGGTAATGCAGGATTTATATCATCAACAGTATGTCAAAGACATGGTCATTGGAGTGGAACCGTGCTTGCTTTGGCTTTAGGCAACCTATGAGACCCCTCATAGTAAGCCTGATTGTAACCCTTGTAACTTAGGTAGCCCTTATTAGTACTGATCCTTGTAGAACCCTTGCAGAAACTCGTATAGTACTACACCCTAAACCCTTAACCCATTTGCGAGTGTGAGTCGAAACCCTAAACCCTAAACCGAGTAACCCTTTATAGGACGTCGTGTCTGATGGTGCCCGAGGACTTGGGGGCCCTTTGACCTAGCGTTGGTTACGGTACCTCGGCCGTGAGAAGCCGTGGTGTGCAGGGCGGTTGAGGTTCTTGGGTTTGGGCTGTGAGGGTTTAGGGAGGGTTGGGGGGAGGTTACTGTGCATGTGCGAATTGACCTGCTAATTGGGGTGCTGCTTGCATTTGTGTTCACATCTTGCGTTTGTCGTGGCTGAGGTAGAGGCATGAAGGGTTTTATGCGGGGGGCTTCTGCTGGGTTCAGAATGTAAATGTATGCTTGCGGTTTCTGGGTCAACATGTTCGGACTACACGACTTGCAAATTGTCATTGTCTTTTCACTGACTGTTGCACGGCTTCGTTGCGATGTGGCCCGAATTCGATGTGGATTTCTAGTCATGTAACAGGGACCATCAAATTAACATCCCGATTGTAATCGTGCTAGGAGGTGCATGAATGGCAAGCGAAGCTCGAATCTGTAGCTAAAATTCCGCTCATGCTGATTGAGTTTCCGAAGCCCTGAAGAAGAACTCTTGCAAAAAGCTTGCAAGGTTTCTCCACAACCAAATGAAATCCGCAATGCGTGCGTGGGAAGGAAACAAGCCTCTAGTTCTGCGATACCGGGTTTCTCGGCCCTAACCATCAGCACTTTAACTGGAAGCAAAGTACAACCCTGTAAAACCTAATCAAACCTTTGAAACCAGCAGCCCTAAAAAACACAGAGCTTTGAGGTAGGTTGGCTTTTCATCTTCATGGAGTTCGGCGACGACGATCAGGCCGGTGTGGCTGAACCCCGAGGATCCCTGTTGGCGCTTCGGGGCTCAGAGCTTAGGGTGTAGGGTTTAGGGTGTAGGGTTTAGGAAGGTTGGTGTCGGTTATTTAAGGTTTAGCGGGGTTCCGGGGTCTAGGGTTGAGGGCTTGCGGGCTTCAAGGGGGTCTGCTGGGGTTTAAGATTCGTAAGTGCTTCACAGTCTCAGGCATGTAAGATTCAGGTCGGAAATGGGCTCGGTGCCTGAGCCATTATCTTATGTTCTATGTCGTCCCACACTCGGCACACATAGGGGTTAGTAAGTCCGAATTCTTCGTCATGCTGAAACTCGAAGCCAGTGAAACTAATAGACGGGTCGGAATACTTGAAAAAGTAGTCATACTATTCCGGACGGCTCTTTTCTATGATATAACCAGTACTACTGTTCCTTAGGGCTCCTATTCAAGAGTATAACGGATTCCTCAAAATGCCGATTCTAACTATACCGGCCTCTACACTACCCCTTAACTTCCTTCGCCTGAGAACAATCCTAGGTCCTAGCAACCTACGCCACAGGGTTTAGGCGTGTAATGTATCGTAAGCATAGAAATATTAGTACTGATTATTCAAGCCTCTATCGTTATCGTACTTGAGAATGATCACAATGCATGCGTTTTGCTTGAGCTATCTCTTGTAAACCGTGGGCGCCTGCCCTACAGGCATCAGGCGCAAAGCTTCCTACAGCAGCCAAACACTTCAAACAAAGTCTGGCCTTAGGGCCTTCGGTTGTAGCTGTGGGCATTTGTGTTTAAATCAGAAAAGTTGGACTTCCTACTCAAGTGTGGTGACCAACGAGCCTACTCAGGCATGCTTGTCAAGGCTGACTAGTCTGCAGACCTTGTTTGCCTTTGTCCGAGCGTGAGCATGAAAAAACGCTACCAAAACCTACCTGCAGGCCCCATAGTAGTTCCTTTTTGGGGTTCATATCTAGAATCCTATAAGGTAATCCCAAAAAGGAACTACCATGGGGCCTATGGGTAAAGCTTCGAAGATCGGAAGCAAAAAGAGGCCTCGGGCGACCTAGTTGCCTGGTCCCGGACGCTTCGAGCGCTGCGCGACTTCACGTGGAGGGTCCTGTTCTGTCATGGTTTTGGGTGGGCTGTAGGGTGAGGGTGGGGGTGAAAGTAAAAGGATTGGGGATTGTGGGTCTGAAGGGGCTTTGGCGGTCTTGGGTTGAGCGCTTGAGAGCTACAGTCCTTCGGAGGAGGTTTGGAAAAAAGAGGAGATCCCTGTAGGGATTCGAGGGAGAGGGAGTTCCATCGGTGGAGACTGCTAGACCGACCTGCGTCCGCAACAGCCGCAACCTTCCCATGCGAAAGGCTCATCCGCAAGGCTTTGTCTCATGGCTTATACTGCTTGCTGCAATCAGCTCTCATCATCAACATCATCATAAGGATCATTCTCATCCTACTTACCATTGTGTTGGTCCTTCTTGTAGCTAGACCCTAAACCCTAAACCCTAAACCCTAAACCCTAAACCCTAAACTAGCTAGCAGTGCTAGAGTTACCATGGCCCCGGCTCCAACCTCCCTACAGGCTCATGCCGGGCTTCCCCCCGAGTCCTCCGTTTGAGGCTTCGCTTCCTTCGCTTTGTCCGTGTCCTGCGCTGGCTGAAACTCCGAGGCTTCCCGTGGCCTAAAAGTTTTGTTTTGGGGTTTAGGGTTTAGGGTTTTAGGGTTTGTTTTTGGGTTTAGGGTTTAGGGTTTTAGGGTTTTGGGTTTTGGGTTTTAGGGGTTTTTTTGATCGTGTTATAAGTGGGTTTACCGTTTTGATCTTGCCCTGGCTGCTCCCGCTGCATGGTGGGGCTTGATCATGGTGAGTTTGATTATGGCCGTGGTCTTGAGTCGTCTTCTTTTATATTTTCTACAGCACGACAAGCTGATCAAGTTGACTAGACGTGGTGCTGTGCTGCCGCCATTCATGATGACGACAAAGCCGCGGTGACCAAGAAATCAGCTTAGCTTTGTGTTCTATTGTATCTTGCTGCATGCAGAAAATCGGTTCTTGGTTTTGGCAAAGTATGTATGGCCTTAACACAGACGGATAACCCTGAACCCCAAAACCTTCTGCCCAAAGATACACAGCCCTTTAAGCACAGCACTTCCCCGAAGCCCAAGAAAGCCATGATCCCACAGCACTCTTTACAAAAACCCAAGAAAACCCTTTGAGCCATAAGATCTGAACCTTGAGTTCCGAAAACGTGTGTAAACCCCAGCGAGACCCCCTTTTTAACCCCATAAGGTTAAACAAGCCCGTCAAAGGTGGTTGAAAGGTCCCCTGAAGTTACGGAGGCCCTATAAAGCGCTCATGTAACACCTCATGGTATGTGTGTCCACATGTGTATATATATATATATATATACATATTGTGTTATATATATATATATATGGTCACCCCCAAACAGGCCAAGGTTGAATAAACCATTGACACAACAATAGGCTCGAGATATGAACTGAGATTCTCAGCCCAATGAGAGTCCCGTTAAGCTTCTTTGAGTTTAGCCACGTCTACATTTACCCTGCAATTGTCTGTCGCCGGAGGGGGAGCATATTTATATTTATATTTATATATATATATATATAGATACATCTACATATATACAAGCCGTCAACAACATTCTGAGCACATGAGCATGCAACCCCCTATGCAAACCTGTACCATGTGGTGCTGCAGGAGTCGCAGAAGCTTTTCAGGAGATGTTCCACTCAAATGTCGCGTCACTTGGCCGAACCGTTTTGGCATGAGCTTTCCGGTGGGCGTTAATAGGTTTCCAAATAAAGGGTTTCAGAACAAATATCTGAGCTTAAGAACGATTAATGATCAGTTGAGCCAGAGCTGTCCGGCTTCAGAACTGTCAGGCAGACCTCGAAGAGTAGGTTTTCCACTCCAAGTAGCCTTGTTTCGCTGGTTGCCGGGTCATTTGGCAGGTCCTGTAACGGACGTCTAAGGGTTTTTGAGTTTAGGGTCAAGGGCCAAACTCTGAAAGCTTGTCAACGTTGCTTCAGATTCACTATGCACTGATTTGTTGGATTGCCTTTCGGGGTTGCTTTGGAGTACTGGGTTAGGGCATATTAACATGCTGGCCAACGCTGCAGTAAAACTGACACGGCACTGTTTGCCTTCGATGGTTGCCTCCTACTATGTCGAAGAAACTTCGCAGTATTGCTAGGGCAGTATACAGGTCTGAAGCATCAAAATAGTCATGGCACCTATGGTCGCTGTGGAGATGAAACGATAGTATGCCACAAGACCCTGGTATAATTATCAAGGCCCCTGTGTTACGCTCGTTGCACAAGCGAAGCATGGCGACCCAAGTCATGCCCTGCCCATACTAACCCTGCATGCTTCTCCTCGTGTAAGAACGACAGCAAAACGCGTATGGTTGAGGGTCTCTAGGGCGTATAGGGCGTAGGAATGATATCCAGAGGTGGGATGTTCTCTGATTTTAGTCATACCGGTAGCCTGGGCATTTTGTAGACCCTGTAGTAGCGCATATACACTCTAAAGTTCCGGATCCCTTTGGCCACTCGTCGCTGGCGAGTTCGCTGTCCAGATTCGCTTGAAGGGTGGAGCATTACGCGAGAACGGTTCACAACACCTCCGCTGTATAGAGGCATCCAAAAGCCCAAAGTTTTTGTTCTTGAAGGCGGGGGTTTAGGGTTTAGGGTTTTAGGGTTTAGGGTTTAGGGTTTATAGTTTTGTGTACTTAACTCTGGTTTGTGTTGGGGCCCCTGAGTTCATGGAGCTTCTGTAGGGTCGTGGTAGCCGTCTTCCGCTTCCTCGCTTCAATCCTAAGTCCCTACACGACATCAGCTCGATATTCAGGTTTTTCTACTACAGCCTCATGATGGCTGGAATGCGCCTGCTGATCTTGAACCATCTCCTGGCCTCTTTGCTGCACCTCTATAGAACAGTCTACATGTAATACATAATGTAATCAACAACCAACCATAGTTCGTTCCATAGTTTGCTGCTGTGTGTGGTCGGGCTCCGAGGTCTGCAAATTCCCCCAGGCCCCAGACTTCAAGATGCTTGCCCCCGACTCCTCCCTTCCATGCAGCTGCAGCAACAACACGTGAATCTGTTCAAGCGCAAGCGCCGATGGCCGGTTTGGTAAGAAAGGCTTGCTGCTGGTATGGCATCGCCCTGCTGGAGCATCCGAACCCCAACTGGGTGGAGAACGCAGGTCTTTGGAACGCGCCAGCAGCTCGTCGATGAGTTGTTTCATAAGCTTCAAAACCCTAAACCCATCAGTTTGTGAAAAGGGCCCGCTAAGTTACGTAAGCTTGTGGGCTCGCTTTCAGGGGCACTTCGCCGAAAGGCGAACGAATACCCTGAAATTTCCTACAGCTTGTGACGATGCGCCCTAAGCCCATCGTTACCTAACGCTCAAGATCCAAGAGGGTCCAGATACACCACTATTGTGTAATTAGCTTCCCACAACCATATGAGGGATGGTCTTTTGGGGACCTAACTCCATAACTTAGTGGCTGAGTAGGTAACCTTTAACCTTTTGGGGCTCTTTCAATCCTACTATGATTCAAAAGGTGAACCTTTTGGGGGGGGCTAGGGCACCCAGCCCCTAAGATAATAGTAGTGTAGATGGACCCTCTGGGGATTAAGAAGCCCCGGGTCGATGTGCTGCCTGGCATTCCGCCCTAAGGCATGAGAGCAAACTGCCCAGGGGAATGTTTAGACATTCCTGATGAACCCCCCACCCTAAACCCTAAACCCTAAACCCTAAACCCTAAACCCCCCCCCCCACCACAAAACCCCGGACCTTTACAGAACGCCGAAGCTCAGAGCCGGTACCAGGGTTTGAATTTCGCTTTGAAATTTAGGGTCTATAGGGATTTAGGGTTTAGGGTTTAAAACTTAGGGATTTACGGTTTGAAATTTGGGGTTGAGGGACTGCAGTGCTACAGCCCGGTAGCCCCAGCAGCTTGCCCCTGAGCGTTGACGCTGTACCGGAGCATGGGCCTCGAAGGGTTTGGGGTTTAGGGACTTGGATTTCGTGTGGGCCTGAAATTCTGATTGGATTCAGGAAGGCGAGGAGTTATGAGAGGCTCGGATGAGGGATGGCAGTTACAAAACCCAAGCCTTCCGAAATTCACCCACAGGTTACCAAACATCAAAGCAGGTTCGCAATGTGCTTGAGCCGAAGACACGCACCTCGCTCTCAGACGGTTGCGGAAGAATGCAAAACTGCAACAGCGATAGATCTTACACCATTCCCACCTCGCTCTTCTTCGGCTGTTGTAGGATGCACCCCAAGCTCTGACATCCTACAGTGAACTCCAGACAGTTGGAACATGAGTTTAGGGGGATCAGTGCTGGGATTCCTTATAGATTATCTCAAGGGCACAGGGATAGTCATGTTCCAACTTTCTTTCTTCTAGTTGAAGCACAAACTTGTTAACCATGGATTCAGGATGCCGACAAATATCTTACCAGTCTCAACTGGTCCTGGGCGATGTTGGGTGTAGGTTGCTTGGCTGCAGTTGCTGACAAGGTGTAGGGCTTAGGGTCTAGGTATTTATTTTGGCAGAGTCTGGGCTCACAAAAGTATTAAGTTGTTCCGAATACGATGAATTAGTGAGGATGAGGGTGGGAATCTGGGGATTCCAACAGGCTTGTGTATGTTAGCGGGGCTTGGAGAACTGTCGGAGGTTGCGACTAGTAGGGGTGCTATATGATTGGAAGCACGTAATATAGGGGCCTCAATAATTACCTATACTATTTTTTTTTTTGGGGGGGGGGCTTCCCTACTATAATTATACTGATTGTACTATAAATGACCCTCTAGCCCTATTCTAATTATTACGGTGTCCATATTACTTTGATAACCATGAGTTCAGGCCTTGGGGTTGAGGATCTTGGGAGTGGGTGTGCGGGTATAAACTTCGGCTGGCTTGGAGCAGCAATAAATGGGGGTTTCTGAAAATAGGGGACCCTAATATAGTACCCTAAATAATAGGATCCTTAATATAAGGACCCCAAAATAAGGTACCCCTAATTTTCGGAAACTCCCAAATACCGCAAAGAGGAATGTCTCGGAGGGATTTGCCGCAGCTTGATCTTGGGCGGTTGGGGCACATACTTGGCATGCAAGATTCAAAACCCCAGATTCGAGAGGAGCTGTTACGAATAAGTTCGAGACGGTCAAGAAGTTCATCGTTTGTTGAAGTGTTTAGGGATATCCAAGAGCCCCAGACCCTCACCAGCATCTCCCAGAGACGATCCTTCTTGGCTGTATGACAATCATCTTGGGCCGCACAAGAAGCCAGGATGCAAAGCAATCAGACCCCAGGTGGCAAGTCTGTGGCTTCGACGGTTTAGGGCTTACAGGGTCTATAGGGTTTAGGGATGTAGACATTCAGGCGATTGCACAAGCCCTGGTGATGCAACAAAGGGATGTAGAGAATCCACCCACCGGACCCTAAACTTTAATCCAAAAACCCTAAACCCTAAACCCAAAACCCTAAGCCCTAAACCTTAAACCCTAAACCCTAACCACATCCCGAAAACCCCGGAGCCCTAAACCCAAACCCATCGCTACAGTGACCCCTATTCTGTAACCCCTCAAGCAACCTGTTTACAGAACCCCTAAAGGACTCATAAAGGAACTCTTGAAAAGAATCCTTTGCAAGTAACCCTTGGAAGGGGACCCTTAAAAGAGACCCCTTCGCAGACCCCGATAAGGAATCCTTGAAAGCCCGACTGCGAGGTCTGAGTAACAACTTGGCCTCGAATTCGCTTGAGGTCGCGTTCTCGGCCCCTTGGCAGATACCCGAAACCCTAAGCCCTAAACCCTAAACCCTAAGACAGGTGGGGGTCTGCAGGGCTCCCTTTATTATTTATTTATTTATTTATTTATTATTATTATTATTGTTATTATTATTATTATTCTTATTATTATTATTATTTTAATATTTTATTTTTTTTGGGGGGGGGGCTTCGGGGTTTAGGGCTTTCGGAGCTTAGAGTCGACGGTTGCTTTATTGCTTTGTGGGGCGCTTGGGATATGGCAATGGTGCTATGAGGGTTTGAAGTAGGGTTCTTGGTGGAGGGAAGGCTGTCATGGGGCCCTACTATGTCGCTTTGTTCTTGAATATGGGTTGTAGTCGACAGGCCAGGACTTAGTGCATTGCAGTCCTTGCTCAAAAAAAAGTCGGCCTGGCGTTCGAGGTTTTTGAGGTTGCAAGATTCGGTCAGAAGTCGCCAGGACGATGTTGCTACCGAATTGGGGTGTCCCGAGCTTAAGATTCGGAGGGGTTTACGGTAAAGGGGAAAGACCCTAGGCATGAGGGCATAGGGTTTGGCACTACGATCATACACATGCAACCTTGCAGCAGGGAAGAAGGAAAGCGACTGAGCTGCACGGGTGCCAAGGTTCTCGTGGCCTTCCGGTCCCTCATGACCTACGCGACTCTTCCAAAGTCCTATTGGGCGGAACCCCTGAAGCCGCATTTCAGATGATGCCTCGTCGACATAATGCCTTCACAGATTCACAGTAATCTTCGTTTGCCCTTCTACTTTCTCTTGGGTTTTGCGGGCAGGCTTTTGGATCCTCAGGTGCTTTAGGATTTTTTGGTATATCGTTTTGGGGGCCTAGTCTTGTGTTGGAGTCAGGGCCTTGGGCCGAAGCCTTTGACCCTGAATCCACAAGCCCGCTCATGCCTTAATCCTGAGATATAATCCTATAAACATCTATAAACCCTAAACCCTGGATAGATGTTAACACGTTGGAGAACCAGTCTGTCTGCTTGTCCAAGTCTGGGTGTCAGAGAGCCCTAAATCCCCAATTCGGGGGTCTTGGGCTTGAAGCTTCAAGGGTAAGGTCTAGGCTTTTAAACCTTGAGGTGGTTGCAGGGCAGGCGTTTTCATGGGATCAGGGCTGAGCTTTCAGGGTTGAGGGTCTACAGGGCTGCGCTTTCATTTTTTGCTTTGCTTCTGAAGGACTTCGGGGGTGAAGGCCTAGCGGTCCTGTGGCGTGTGTAACGGTTTGCGATGGCTGCCCTGAAGGGTTTGCAGGGGAGGAATCCTGATTGAAACATGGCTTTGGGGTGGCTGCTTCTGGCCTGCAGTCGGGTTTGCGAAGCGGTAGCTTCGCTTCATTGTGAGCCACAACCTTGAAGTGAGCATGATAATGGAGCTATACTGCAAGGTTTGGATAACAACGGACGACGGGGGCTATTACTACTCCTTGCTGTTGAGAAGACGAGAGCGTTTGGATTAAGGTTTACGCATAATACTCCACAGCGTGACATGATGTTGTTTGAGATTTAGGGCATTGGCGCAGGGCTTAGGATTTGGGATTGTAGTTCCAGTTTGGGGGTTGCCTTGTAGGATCTTAAATATACACTAAAAAAAAGGAACTACAACGGAACCTATATGGGTAGGCATTCATGTTTCCGGTCCCCGGAATTTAAGATGGGGGGGGGGCGGTGCCACGTCTGCTCGGGTTACGGCTTCTGCTCCGAGGAAGTGGGCTGAGAAGACTGAAGTTTAGGGTTTAGGGCTTCGGGTAAGAAGGAGTCAAGGTTCTGTTTCCGATGGACCATGTACTCATACGATATGGGTGGATGTCAAAATTATGGTCCCCTTTTGGGTCCTTATAATAATACGGCACCTATTATTTAGGGTACCCCAAAAGGGACCATAATTTTGACAACTACCCATATATACTTTGGCCCCACGAGACCTATGCAGGAACCCAAGGGCTGGACTCGCAACTTGGGAAGTCTCATGTAGTCGCTCTGGAGGGTTCCCGAATCTGCGTCGATGCTCTTGCACAACCTTCTCCACGAGAGGGTCGAGGCACCAGAAATCTGAAGATGTCGGAAGGAACTCGGAACTGAAGTTGGATGCGACCGGGGCTCTGAATCTGTGCATATCCGCAGTATCGTATTCTCACTGCTAAGCCGTAGCCATATCAGAATGTAGCTTCTGATAACTGAGAAGTGGAACGGCAAACCCTGAACCGCCTAAGCCCTAATTACTTTCTGTGGTTGGGTCATGCTCAGGCCACGCTGATCAGTTCCATTACCACTTTGTCCGGTGCGCTGAACAAGATTAAGGAGGACGAGCACCTTTGCTGCATCGCCTGAGAGATCGAATAGTTGATGGTTTAAATTTCTATGATATAGTTCTAAACAGCTAAACTGCTGCTAAACCCTAAACCCCGACGCATTATGTGGATCCTTGCCTGCTTGCGAGAGTGAGAGTCGAATAATAAAATAATAAGAAGAAGAATAACAATAATAATACATAATAATGATAAGAATCATAATAATAATAATAATAAGACACACTACTGGTCAGCGCTCTTCCCACTCATCAGTCAGCTCTCTCGCTCATGTAACAGTAGCAAGCTCGGACCTTCAGAAGCCAGGCCTGCCTTGCGCGAGTGTGTGCGTCGAAACCCCGACGTTTCGGTGGTCACGCTGATGCTCGTGATTCTGATGCGAACCCTAACTCCCCGGGTCCTTGATAGTAGGTACTAGAGCCCCTAGGGCCCTATATTGTAGGTACCTGGAGGGTTAGGGTCTGCTGCGAAACTCGAAATCAGCTGGGGGATGGCCGTGAAACGCGCACATGTTCCGTGGCGTTCCGGGCATGTTTGTGGACGGCGCGGTGCAGCGGACCCAAATCCGATGAAGCTGCTTACGACTAGCACAGGGCCGGGCTCTCGGGAGGCTCAGATGGCAGTAACAGGCTGCTTACGCTGCCCGCACCTGTCGCAGCCCTTAATATATATAGAAGCCGGTAGTAGATAACTATTTTTACTGTAATATACGCTAAAACCCTGTTCTACGCATCAAGGCCCCTCAAGCATAACTCTTGCCTGCGCCCTTCCGGGAAAGAAGCAACTGGAGAGGCGTCTTCAAGTACTTGAACCCTTTATCCCCAAAGCTGAGACACACAACTCTCATCCCTGAATGGGTAGTTCTCTAAATTAGGGCCCCTTTTGAGGTCCTTTTTATACGGCTGCCGTAGTATGTTGGGGACCGAAAAGGGGGTCCTAATTTAGAAAACTAGCCGAATTTCGGTTGTAACAATTTAAAATCAGGCAGGAGCAAGGAAACAGTTCTAGGATTTGCGCTGGTATTGCGACCCGAGCACCACCGAGGAACTCGGAATTCCGGCTCCTCCGTTCCTACCTGGCACACAACGACATTGACCAGGACCGTGATGGCAATGTAGGGGCCGAAATAATCACCTATATTATTTTGGGGATTTCTTATTATAATTATAGTAGAACGCGCCCCAAGATCCTATTCTAGTTATTAAGGCCCCTATATCACCCTCATCCACCAGCCTCCATCCGCTCTCCAAAAAAGAATTGGCGATTAGTAGTCCTACAGACCGTGTTGAAGTCCCTGATGATGACCGTGCTGATGATACTGGATGGACAAAATTCTGCATGACCCAAATATAGTATAGTACCATAAATCCCATAGTTTAAGTATATAAGGTCATGCAGGATTTTGTCCATCAACCGTAGTTCTCACCATCTGGAGGCTGTTGGTAGATGAATGTAAAGACGACGATGCTGAATATGCCTATGGTGCCATCTTCTTTATTTGTGATTGTATACATATTTGCTGACACTGAAACTTGTGAGTTCTCATGCTTATCAACACCATCATTTAAGCAATGGTTTGGCCAGTTTCAGTTTTCAGTGTCTCAGATGCTTATGCTTGTCGCTGTTATTCGGGCTATCGACAGCATTGCTGCCGTTGCTACGGTACCACTATTGCAACACTGCAATGGCACTCCTCTTTCTCCAAAGTCGACTGTTGCTAGTATTTCGACTACTTGGAAAGCTACCATGCTACTACCACTTCTGCTGCTGCTGCTGCTGCGGCTGCTACTGCTACTGCTACTGCTACTCGTCCTCCTCCTCCTACTACTACTATTATTATTATTATTACTACTACTACTACTACTATCAGCTGCTACCGCTACTGCTACTGTTGCGGCTGCTGCTGCTGCTATTGCTACTGCTACTGCTACCCTACTCCTACTACTGATACTACTACTACTACTACTACTACTACTACTACTGCTACTGCTACTACTACTACTACTGTACTACTACTACCACCACCACCACCACCACCACCACCACCACGACGACTACTACTACTACTACTACTACTACAGGGCTGTCGACGACGTGCCAAGTAGGTGACAAAACTACTACTAATACTACTAATACTACTACTACTACTACTACTACTACTACTACGACTACTACGACTACTAAGTACTACTAAGTACTAGTACTACTACTACTACTACTACTACTACTACTACTACTACTACTATTACTAACACTACTACTACCACTACTACTACTATCAGCTGCTGCTGCTGCTGCTACTGTTGCTGCTGCTGCTGCTACTGCTCCTGCTGCCACTGCTGTTGCTTCTATTGCTACTGCTACTGCTGCTACTACTACTACTACCACTACTACTACTGCTACTACTACTACTACTACTTCTACTACTACTACGACTACGACGACGACTCCTGCTCCTACTCCTACTCCTACTCCTACTCCTACTCCTACTACTACTACTACTACTACTACTACTACTACGACTACTAAGTACTACTAAGTACTAGTACTAGTACTACTACTACTACTACTACTACTACTACT